TACTGAGGTGTACTAGGAGGTATAGAAGTGTACTAAGGGGTAAAAAAGTGTGATGGGGTGCTAGGGTCCTGGAGTGGACAGAAGTATGCTGGGGGTACTGAACATTGCTGGGGGGGGGGGTACAGAAATGTGCAAAGGGGTGCAGAAGTGTGCTCCAGGGGAAGAGAGATGTGTTAGGGGGCACAGATGTGCTATGGGGGACACATACGTTTGCTGGGGAGGGTTACAAAGGTGCGCTGTATAGGGTATAGAGGTGTACTGGGGGCTACCAATCACTCACTGTGTTCATTAAGCCTAGGTTCACACTGGAATGTGGTGTGGGAAACCTACTATCCATTCGCACCACATTCAAATCACACTGCCCTTGAGACCTGCATCCAATGTCAGTGCAATCTTAACAATACCTCAAATGCAGGTCACAAATGCAGTGCATTTGCCTGCATCGAATCGGTACAAAATGACCATGAAATTTAGTCGCAGTCTGGTCCCAAAAATGGTGCATGCATGACTTTGGTGTGATGCAGTGCAATTTAAGCCCATTCAAAATCAATCTGTGTTTACTATGCTTCAGTTTGTGAATGAACAGGATGCCTCAGAGCACTTCCCATTTATTCACTGTCCAGTGCAGCTGAGGCTCTAGAAAAGGGACAGGATAATCTCTGTCCTTATTCCCTTTCTCAGTCTCAAAAGTGAGACATGGGGATTCTTTTTAGACCCCTGATAATTCCTGAAAGCCCCCCCAACGGGGCTCTTAAAAAAAATTGTAAAAACATTATAAAAAATAATATAGTAAAATATAATAATAAAGTAAATACAAATTTTAAACAACTACTGACACCATCCACTGCCTTTAGACTCCAAACTCTGCCCTTTTAACACCATCTTCCCTACTGACATCTTCCACTGTCCTACTGATACAGTCAACTCTTCTGTTGATATTGTTCACTGCTCTACTGACACCTGTCCACTTTCCTACAGATACCAACCTCTGTCCTACTGACACCAACCTCTGCCCTATTGACACCAACCTCTGCCTCACTGACACAGTTCACTGCTCTACTGATACCGTCCACTTATCTGCTGATACCGTCCACTGCCCTTCTAACACCATCCTCTACCTTACTCACACCAACCTCTGCCCTACTGACACTGTCCACACACCGTCCACTGACCTACTGACACTGTCCACACACCGTCCACTGGCCTACTGACACTGTCCACACACCGTCCACTGACCTACTGACACTGTCCACACACCGTCCACTGACCTACTGACACTGTCCACTGCTTCACTAAATGACACTGTTCACCTTTAAGGTAGGCTAAGTTCATATTTTTACAGTGACATTTGTGTTTTTAATCTAAGCATATTTTATATGCACAAGAATGTTTTTGTTTTATTTACCCATGCTCTTTTAAGCCCCTCCCACTATTAACAAAATTTTGCCACTGCGGCTACTCACATCACAGAACTTCTCTTCTCAGGGCACCCAAAGGTGTCCCAGGTCTTTTACAATCCTATAGTATTCCTATAGTTTCAAACCTCACCTCCGCAGCAGATTTAGAGGGGCACCGCTGGGAAGGAAGAAGAGCACAGAGAAGCAGGCCTTATTAAAGACCCACTTTAGAGATGACCGGATGCAGTGATACCTATTGAGGAACCTTGAAGGGAACAGGAACCTGACCATATCTTGGAGCTGATGATCTGGCTGACCTGATGAGACATTAGTGGTCTCAAATGCGCGTTTATAGCGCACATCTGGTGAGTGCGCTATTCGCTTATTACTAGTCACACCATCCGTCACTCCTGATTTAGAGAAGTTAAACACTTTTGCCTAGATTTGCTTTGATCCTCAAGTTCATTCTGTGGACTTTCACATATTTACCACTATAACCACTCATATGTGGTTTTTATATGTACTTTGCACTTTATATTTATTTATTAAATTTATGATTAATATCTTTGGCGCAAGTTTGAGATATTGTCCGCATATTTATGGCGCAAGTTTGAGATATTGTCTGTGTTTTTCGTATTTTAGAATACAGTACTTGTATGAGGTGGATTATATTATCATCATTTAACTTTTTAAATAAGCGCCTTTTGCACATTTGTATTAACAGCGCTGCACCCAATTTTATGTTACTTGTTCTTAGAGGATTTATGGTTTCCTTTTGGTGTCCTAGCAGCTGGAATTTTGGTATTGCTCGCTTAACTCTGCCGTACAATACTGTATACTGTCATGGGACTGCAAAAGCATTCGGTGAGCACAAAGTTGATTACTTTTTGTCTCTAGACACCTTTAAAGTGACACTAAACAATAGTCCAGACACATCCACTACTTAACAACCCTGTAAACTATTTTTCATGAAATAATTTCTTATTATGTTTTTCTGCCTCCTTGTAACAGCCTTCATGAGCTCCCAAACCTCTCCTTTCTATGCACTCCATTCCAAAGTGCATAGCCCCTAGTCCATCTCGGGAGCCAGCAAGAGGGTGGCTACATTCTTACATACAATGGGATCGTGGAGAACAAAGATAGCCACACTCTAACAGGAAGCTAAATCACAGCAGCAAAAACAAAAGAAATTAGGAGATTTTAAGAAGGTTGAGAGCAAAAGAAGGTACTTTGAGCTAAGAATACATACGTCAATACATTTTTCTTTTTCCACTTCTTTCCCAGCCTATTGTAATGTGACTGCCGGGTGGGATCTTATAACTTCCTCCCGGAATGCACCTTGCATGTGATCTGTCACTGGCTGTGTCCACTGCTGCTAGTACGATGTGATCGCTGTGACCAATCACAGGAGATCACATAACAATTGTAATTAATGAATGGCTTCGATTCATGCTATTCATTGTGTACAATTGTGTTGCTTGCTGTGATTGGTCACAGTGATCCCATGGTACAGACATGACCAACACAGCCCATCTGTATTATGTGATTAGCTGTGGCAGATCACAACAATACATACTGAATTAATCAATTTCATTCAATAAAAATACTTGCTCATTGCAGTGAAATTCACTGCTATAAGCAATCATAATGTGTAAAGAAAATCCTGATCACTTAGTACAATGTTACTGTGGTAGCAATGTATTGCTGTGGTCACGGTGTGTTAGAAAAAAAATTTAATGAAAAAAAGATATTTTCTTTTTTTTTTACATACTTTCACTAGTCAGTGTCCCGGATCATCACCACACCAGTATCAGATCATCACCACACCAGACCCAGATCACCACCACACCACACCAGCTCTGTATTATAAATGATGACAAACAAATTACAGCTTTAACCACCTCCCATCCGGCCGTTGTATATAAATGGCCAGACGGTGGCAGTGCAGGGTTGGGTGGCCATTTATAAACGGCCTGCCTGCCCCCTGCTTGTGTGCGCTCCCTGGGATCACGCAGCACCGCGATCTGATGCCCACTGTGTGCTCCGGACACAGTGAAACACCGATCATCGTACGGGACCTCTGTGCGAGGTCCCGATCATGTGATCACTGATTGGCCAATCAGTGATCACATGCAGAGTAGTAAGCAAGATCTCACTTCTGACATCATTGCTTACTATGTGTGAAATCTGTGAATGATCACAGAGGTCACATGGTACAAGGCTTTTCACAACAGCCTTGTACCATGTGACAAGTTGTGACCAATCACAGCTCACACAGTAATTCTCAATGGCTGCAATAATGCAGACAGAGAGAAGGAAAAATTATTGCTTTTACAGCCTTTATGGGTGTTAAAGCAATCAGTGTAAAAAAAAAAAAATCTTCATCACTCCCCACAAGTAGTACAGTGTCACCATGGTGACACTGTACTGCTAGGGTGACAATATGTAAAAAAAAAACAAAAAACATAAATAATAATATAAAAAAGAATAAAAATATAAAAACATGTTTAAAAATTATAATTTTTGGTTATAAACTAATTTGTTAGTTTTTTTTAACTAAAAAGATAACCGAATACATTTTG